GCTACGGTACCGGACGGCTACGGGCTACGGTACGGACGGCTACGGTGCGGACAAATCGTGTGATTATTGGCAACGGTGCTCGGGCATATTCACGCATGTGGTTGAAATTCTGGATATGAGGTTAAGATATCAGAGCGTATCAAAAAATACCAAAATGCGAGAGTTTGAAGTGATTAATGCTTTTAAAAGGTAGGTATACGGTAAGGACATCCCAGATGGTCGTTAAACCTAGAAACTCATAAAAAACGGTCAAAATTTACTGTTTCATTGCGGTTTTTTCCTCTGCTCGACATCAGCGTGTGATAGTCACGATAACACAAAAAAAGTAAACAAAGTTCATAAGTGCTGCACTGTAACGGACGAAATGATGCTGAAAAAAGGGGGCTACGGTACAGGACGCGAATTCCGCAGACAAGGCTGCATGACGCAAAGACGGTCAATATTTTCACTTATTTGGATGAATATAACTAAAAATAATAAGTTAGGTACAAATTGAGTGTGAATTTACAGCAGAAGTGGAAGTATTTAGATGCAAGATGAAGGTTATGAAGCGTTAAAGTTGCGCACTTGAGTCGCAGACAGGCTACGGTACAGGACATTTCAGCTGTTTAGGGCCAAAATTCTGATATTAAATGGCAAAACCTGCCTAAAGCGATGTTGGGACCTGATTAAGCGTAAAATTTTGAACAAATTTAAGAAAGAAAAAGGTCAGATTTTTCCATTTTGAAGGGCTAAAAAGTTGGCAGACATGGTAGAGCAAAACTTATTTGATTCTACTCGGTCATATTCAAGTATGAGTAAAAATTTATGTTAAAATTCAATATTAATCCATCATCGCAGCTAAAACCAGCAGCAGACTTACTGCTTACTTAAGAATGGGATTCACACATTATAGCAATATTTTTCATATCCGACAACTTAACATACATACACATATGAGGGCTCGTTTTCAGCTCGAACTCATCGACGCAATGGCTCCAAAAGCAAGTCGAAAGGCAGTGAGGAAAGTGGGCAAGGAATCCTACGCCATCTACATCTACTAAGTCTTGAAACAGGTGCACCCGGTACTTACTGATCATTATCAAAGTGACATATTGGTTTTCTGCTTCTGCTAGCCTGTGCATCTTTGGGATAACTTTTAATCTGTTCTCAATGATTAAATTCCCAAATTTTACCAGAATTCCGCCTGTATAAGTAAGCTGAAAATTTTCAAACGTCATCTTTTAATCTTGCTGTAATAGAATTTGCACCAACCACAATTGAGCACACAATTGAAAATTGAGCCACAGTTTCTCTTCAATTTTTGCACATACATTGCAAAGTCCCTTTCGAAATTGAATTGATATGTCAAGCGAAGAATATACCCAAATGCGTTAAGCCAACTGAAAGTTGTGACAATTTGAAATTCAGACGATGTAAGGTTTCGTCGGATATAGGTAAATGTGATTTGGACTATTTAAACTAAAAGGAACTATATGCATTTAGTTTGCGTGCAAAATGGCTCTTTTTAGCACAAATACGTACATTTGGAATATCTATTTTTAAGGTTTTGTTTTCGAAAACTCAAATTTTAATTTTCTGATCCATCTTAATAAAATTCCAGCTCCTCTAAATGTTGGCTCCTTGCATAGTATACATATATAAGCGTATAGGGCCCGCGAAGCGGGTCTGAGGGCGCGAGGCGCCCTCCCGGGGGTTGGGCCGCGTATCGGTCAGGGGGCAGGGCCCCCTAGTATGTATATGCAATCATAGACTATTATAATTATTCTCACGTGTTAACAACATATTAAATGGAAGCAAAACGTTTTTTTGTGATGATTTATAGCCTTGAATATTCTATGAGGTACATCACCTTACCTCAAGTTTAGCCTGCTGCGCTCATGACACGTAATAAGGTATAATTTTGTATATTACCGACTGTCTAACAATTTTAAACTATTTCCGTCTCGTTGAAGAGAGAAAAAACCAGAGTTGCACAACGAAGTGACGTTAACTTGATGTGATAACAGCAAGAGAGACAACTTAGCTTTTGATTTTTATCATGTCATTACTCGTGAGATCGCAAGTCGTGAGACCCTAATTCTTTACTTACTAAGGATCTTCCGGGTCCATTAGAAATTGAGTTCACTGATATGATTTAGGCCCTAATTGGGTTACATTTTGTAATAAAGAACCGTTATTTCTGATAATTCTCAAGTTATCAAAATCTGAATCAAAAGAACAGCCCCGGCACGAAGCTATTGTAGGCATGCATAGGGTCATATATGGAAAGAGGCATTGCATGGCGCCGAATCTATAGGGGTAGGGTGGAACGCAACAGCTCTGAAACGTTTTATTTGATCACTAATACATTTTCTCTCAATGTACTCTAATAGGATGCTTCGTTGGTGATATGTGGTGATGCGTGATGGTGCGTGAATGAGAAGTCCTGACGGATACCCTCGATAAATGAAGGAACCAAGAATTCTCCTCAGTAAGTTGGTTACATATTTATCCTCCTGGAAAGGAATAGCACATGCGTTATTTATATACTGAGCCAGAGGTCTTCATTCTTCATTCTTCATTTGCAGAGTGCGGTTCAAATGAGGAAATATTTGATTTTAACATTCACCAATTTTAAAATTACATTACTCACGTAATAAATTAGCTTAAATTTTGCAACAAGGAACTAATAATTCTATTTTATTTATAGAAGCACCTATCTGCATTAGGGTGGTTCTTATTTTTCGACTTTTCGAAATACCCATCGGAACCGAAAATTTCTCAAATTTTCGGCTCCGATGGGTCCAGGTCTCCAAAATTTACCATGTTACTAAAATCCGTGGTTTTAGTGTTCGCGCACTTAAAACAAGCCTATTTAAGAAACCTAGACATTATAACTATCGAGGTAATTTATTTTCAGTGATAATTATAACGGGACTTATCATCGGTAAGTTGCCCCTTTTAGCCCTAAAATACCTTCCAGGTGACTTTATTTTCCAGGAGCTCGACAGAATGTTTGTTTTCTTGGCTTAAATAACTCGGCGTCCGCAGACACTCTACTTCATGAATCTGAAGAGCCATTGCTTTTGATTTATCAAAAAAATTAAATTCGTTCAGGCAAACCGTGCGGGGAGAATGTTAGGAAAAATCAACGAAATTGCACGATGTGGCTACTTTGAGGGGTTAAAAAGGGCATTTTAAAAATGATAAGGTAAAGTGCGTTATTTTTCTTGTAAAGTACCTTAAAAAGTGTGATACTTCAAAAAGTTTCAAAGCTATAGCAACTTTTTAAAGGGGAAAAAAAAATTCGCAAAATGACAAAAAAACGCAATTGTCTGGAATTGGAAGTTCCCACTTGGAGACTTCTTGTGGGCCCCAGCGGAACCACTTAGTATGATCCAATCGGGCTGAACTTTTTCGTAGGTTTTTTCACACCAAATGACAACTTTTAGGGGGGGATCAGACATTTGATTTTTGAAAAGTCAAAAATTAAGAACCATCCTAATCTGCATAGAAAACTAATGACATACCAGCTGTTTCTAAAATGATCCAAAAATATTAGTTCCTTCTTGCAAAAGTTACTGCTGAACCGCTGAAACTGAAATTTTCTTCTTCATTTTTTATGATCTGTAGCGTCGGTGGGCTCTGAGCAAAGTGGACTGTATAAGGAATGGCGGTGCTATGACCGGAGACTCACCTCGACACCTCATCTCTCCCCAATACGAACATCCGAGCCGAAACGTGGTGGCGCTCAGCCCTTCATCTCCCCAAAATCTCCTCCTATTGGGGGATGAGACGTAAAGCTGCTGTGGGCCTCTCCTCTCGTGTACGCACCACATCCTACCCGGATCTTCGAAAACTTCCACTGTAAAACATACAGGGCAGTTACTCACCTTGATGCGGTGCTCACACTCGAGTTCACATTTATTTTCTTTAACACTACTACCTAGAACACCAAACCTATTAGTTGTACTTATTTTAGAAGAATTCATCATTATCTTGGATGTACTCTTCCAGACTCTTCTCCCCAACTCCCTCTCCCTCCATTTCCAACTGCCTTTTAACTGCTTCCGTGAAAGCTGGACATCCTAGAGACATGTATCTATGATTTTTTTTTTATTGTTAATAAAATAGACAACTACAAAAAGTATTAATCCTAATTATGCTAGATTGCGTGGATACNTGGGTGCATCGACCTGGTATATCAAGTTTCTGCAATTTTTTACGGCAAATCAGTAGATTTTCGGGATGTAGATTGCTTACTTTCAATTCATGAATGAATAAAGCAACGACATGGTTGAACTTCTTTGCATGGAAAGACGTTTAAAATAACAAAATCAAGACGTATTTAATGCAATTGCATTTATATCGAGTCAATTTCTTTTCAATAATATAACGGGATTTTTACTACCGGTGATTTGGGTATTTTAGCCCCAAAATACCTTTAAATCGACTTTATCTTCTAGGAGTTCGACAGAATTTTTCCTTTCTTCGCTTAAATTATTCCGTAGCACTTTTCTTCAAGAATCTGATAAGATTTTGCTTGAGGCAGATCAAAAAACTTAAATTCGATCGAATAGCTTTCTACTTTCACAATACACGGTCTCGTCAAGGTGCGTCTTTGACCTCGCAGTGTTGGATCGTGAATTCTCTTTTTATGCTGTTTGCCTATTTTGAAATCTCTGTAAATGAAAACTAAAGGGGTTGATATGTGCGAGTTAATGACGCGCCTTATCAACACATTGTGTTGGAGTTCACTGCTTGTTTTTTTTTATTGTTAATAATATAGACAGCTACAAAAAGTATTAATTCTAATTATGCTAGATTGCGTGGATACAATATGTTAGTAGGTGATATGATTACATGGCTTTTTTCCAACTTGCATAGTACGCATTTGACATCCCTATTAAACCTATCTTTACAGTCCTCTCGGAGATGATCCCTGGATCCGCAACTGAAACAAATCTTGCCCTCCTTTGTACAGAATCTCTGAGAATGATTTAACGCCCCGCACTTCAGATAGTTGGTAACAAAAACCGTAGGAGACACCGTTACCCTAACTTTTTTAATTAACTTTTTTTAATAACTTTATCCGGATTTGATTCTTTCATGTCTGTCTTTCCTTTTTTGGTTCCCCCATTTTCAACCCTTATGTCCTTCCTTCCCTTCATTATCTGAGTTTGTCGGTGTGGATATTGGTCTAGGTTTATTGAAAACAGAAAAAGAATCATCATCATTATCCTCCAAGAATATAGACGCGTCCGAAAGGTCATGGATCTTTCTCTTTCCAGAGACTATATCTATTTCCATTTCTATCCCTTTTCCATTCTTATTCGTATTCGCTGCACAATTGATCGAAACACAGTCCGTTTTCTCGTGCGTCAGAAATTTGCATATTTCGCATCCCACCTCGTCATGTGCAAAGCATTTCTTCATTATGGGGAATCGCCAAAGTTCAATGCCCAGAAGTCCAAAAATCCCAGTTCCTTTAGTGGTCAAAGGACAACTTACTCTGAGGAGTAGCAAAGTTAGATTAAGCAAAATAAACAAAAAAAAAATAAAGCATGCGGTCACTTATCTAAAATCTCGGTTGTGAGTAGAGTGATAAAGTTCGGCAGACTGCAAAAACGGCTATGCCGCGATGGAGTTAGATTAAAACGAGCGTTGGATGCGCACTGTCATCTAATCTTGTAATCAATTGATAAAATTTAATGACCGTCCATGAGAAACATAGGTTGCTAAATCGTCCAAGGCAAAAGTTGAACGCGCATTCACCGTACTAGGCTAAATTGCATCACCCGGCACCACTGTTCTTAGAAGACCGTTACACCAAAGACGAGAAAAGTCGTTTTTCCTCCAAATGGAGGAAAATTTCTAAAAAACGAAACGGCCTACAAGTCTCGCTTGAAATTGCCGACACGACTATATAAGAATACTTCACCAAAACAACGATATAACCAAAATAAGCTTGAAAAACAACGGAGCGAGCAAAATTGCCACCGGTCAGTTAGATGTCCAAGAAGCAAGTCAAAAACCTTATTATAATCAGCTCTGCTCGTTTGAACTGTTTATTGTCCATCTACCTATTCGAAATATCTTCCGGAATCAATCCTGAAATATGCTTAACTTGAAAAGTGGCAATGATCAAATGGACACCGTGTAAAAATAGAGGATCCCCGAGGAGCTCCATAAAGTGTTTCTCGAAAAATTTAAATCACCTAATGCGCGAAAAAAAAGTAACATCAGTAAAAGTATACCTGTAAATAAGTTACAAAATGCTCTGTTGCTTGTATATTCTCTTTATTTAGCTTAGAAACAAAGTGTATGTTTCCATGTTGGAAGGTCACTAAAAACTAAAAAATAAAAAAATAAAAAAAAATGTATAAAATGAAAGATGGAAATTTTATATATTGTGTCTCCGTTCTTTTCATCGATGCCCCTGGTTTTTTTTAGAGTCTCTTTATACTGAGAGTCAAGACAACACCCCCTCATGGAGTCACAAACGGGAATAAAGATTACACAAATTGAACGTTTTTCGTAATCTTTGATCGGCCCATTCTCAAATTTCTTTCTCCGTTCCTTCTCTCATTCCGTTTGTTCCTTGCCGAACCCGTAATTCCCTGGTCCATTCCAGATTATAATCTTTGCAATCGGTGAAAATGTAATCTTTATTCCCGTTTGTGACACTGTAAAAGCCTAAAATACGGGAACCAATCAGAAATGGATTCACATTGTCTTGACTCTCAGTATAAAGGGACTCTAGTTTTTTTTCGAGTCGAGTCTTCTTTTCATCAGTTCATTGTGAAGTCGATAGTGAAGGAGGTCAACTGCTTCACAGATAATTTGGAGCATTAAGTGTCGATGATTAGGTGGGCTGAAGCCGAAATTCAGTTTTTGCTGGTGTATTATGCGAGTTCCGTGAATTTGAACCACGGTAAAACCGAACAGAGTTTTTCCCTTTATGCAGGAGTCAAATTTGAAAAAGTTTCAATAAAAAAACGTAAAGAAACTGATTTATTGAGTATAAGCTAAACATAACACAATTTAGGAAAAAAATGCATGGTAAATAAACTTACAAATAAAAATATGTTCCCTCGTTAAACATCCAAGTTCGTTGTCAGTATCAAAGGTAAATTCCATGTTTTGTGGAAAATCTGTTTTTGTTTTTTAATGGAGAATTTTTGGGATCAAAATAAGATCTTTTTTTAGTGTGTAAGTTTCTCTGAAAACACCTTTTTTCTAAAATTGATCCATTACTCTTTCTCATGGCGTCAAAGTTTTGGTAAAAATTGGATTCTGAGAGTAAATCTCAGCGCACTTCTTATTTTATGCAGTAACAGAGGTACATGAAGTACGCTTTCATGGAAAGACGGAAGACACAATCTCTACATTAAAAATGGGTGTAACTATTTGAACATAGAAATCTGCTAACCTACGTACCGCATTTCCATACAACCTCTGAAACTACAAAAAATAAAAAGCAGGGTAAAAATTACTCTTAAAAGCAAACTCTCACTAAATTTGACACTTTGAACAGTACGCGGTTTCGCATTTTGGCCATCGTTTTGTTCCCTATCTTTGCGCGGAGAGTTTGACTGGATATGGATGTAGACTTTCACCTTTGATACTGTAGATTCACTTAATTACAGCCTCAACTTTAAGAGCTTTTTTGAGCTTAGGTTTCAGAGAAACACTGTGACACTATCGTGTTCCTCGCAAAATTTCATGCACGACAGAGTACTTAAAACGCGAATCCTTCACACACGTGGGAACTCCATTGCCGCTTTTCCGTGCACAGCGAGAAAGCCAAATGAACACTCGAGAGTTGCCAAATTTCAACGAATAAAACGTGTATTTTTGAGGGAAACTATGAATATTTTCTGTTGAAATTTTCAGATATTTTAGATGAATTGCAAAAAAAAATCGTCTGGGAGGAGCATATTCTCAATTTTCCCAATAAATTCCTTTTATATTGGAGGGAATATGGCAACGTACGAAGGCTCATACGGCGTTCCTCCTTACCCCGGCAGCACTGGCGTTTTTTTCTTAAGTTGATGCGGCGTCAGTGGCGATTCTTGAAAGTTGGCAACGCTGTTTTTCTTCCATCTGAATGTATATAAGTCAATCGATTTTTGGTAGGGCAGCCTCACCTAAAATCGATATTTTCAATGGTTTTAAGTGGAGGAAAAACAGCGTTGCCAATTTTCAAGAATCGCTTTAACCCCGCACCCACTTGAGAAAAAAACGCCGGTGCTGCCGGGTTAAGAAAGAACGCCGTATGAGCCTTCAGAAGTTGCCATATTCCCTTCAATATAAAAGGAATTTAGCGGGAAAATGGAAATTTTGCATGTGTAAGGAATTTGCGATTTGACCACTGATTCCTATGTAAAAGTTCGCGAGAAACACGATGGTGCCACTGGTTTTCTCTGAAATCAACTCTCAAGCTCAAAAAAGCTCTCAAAGTGAGGCCAAAATGGAGGGGATATCCCACCCTACCCTGAGAGTCCACCTCTACATCAAGACAAACTCTCCATGCAAAGATAGGGAGCAATTACATTGGCAGGGTTGCCACTTTAATTGGGGACTCCAAAACTGAAAACACGGCATCACTGCTTATGTATTTGCCCCCTATCATTGTATGGAGAGTTTGTTTTGATGTAGAGGTGGACTCTCAGGGTAGGGTGGGATATCCTCTCCATTTTGGCCTCACTTTGAGAACTGTTTTGAGCTTGGGAGATGATTTCAGAGAAAACCAGTGGCACCATCGTGTTTCTCGCAAACTTTTACGTAAGAATCAACAGTCAAATCGCAAATTCCTCACACATGCAACATCTCCATTTGGGAATATTTTCCTGAGAGGATTTTGTTTGCCAGTGTTGCCAGCTTGGATAATTGCCAGAGTGCGGGGTGAGCCTCATCATTGCTGGAGCATGTCTGTGAGGAGGGAGGAGATGGAGACATTGCCGATGGTCTTGCGGAAGAAGAGTTCCTCGAGGTTCCGTTTCTCGAGGGAGGCCAGGACAGGCAGGAGGAGCAGGAGCTTCCCGAAGCGGACCTTGCTCGTCACCGAGATGTACTCGCGCAGCATCACCTGCGTCTGGTCCTGCAGCAGCTCGATGTACGACGGCTCGCTCAGCCCGGCCACATCTGCAAACATCAACACACCGTTCCACTCCACACGGAGAAAAAAACTTCGTGCATGGGACCCGAAGTTGAGGTCATATGAATCTCTGAAGTTTTCGGATCACGCATCCGAAAACTTGAGGTCCAACTGCCGAAGTTCGGGTCAGGCACCTGAAATACTTCGGTATTTACCGAGTACTTCAGATGTCTGACCCGAACCCTTCGGTATGTACCTAAGTACTTCAGATGTCTGACCCAAACTTCGGCGGTTGGACCTCAAGTTTGCGGATGCGTGATCCGAAAACTTCAGAGATCCATATGACCACAACTTCGGGTCCCATGCACGAAATTTTTTTCTCCGTGCATGGGTCTCCTCAGTGGGCTCATTCTGGAAATTGACCATAGGGCACATAGAGTCGTAATGTAAATGGGAGAGCTGGCGTCATGTCCTGCTCGACGAGTCCCGAGCCCGATGTGCGCCGAGCTTCGTTCCCTTTTTCGATACGTGTTCGATCCAAAATGGCCGTGTAGAATACGTGGTAATCCTTGTCTCTTTGTTTACATCGGATGGCCAGGTACCTGTGTATCGATAACAATCGATTATGTATCGAGAAAGTGACCCGGCGTGACACAGGGATCTCGGAATTCGGGACCTGGAAAATGCTTAAATATGGCGCCAGCTTACCCACTTACCTTACGACTCTGTGTACTCTATGAAATTGACAGACAAAGCGATGGACGAAGAGGACATTAGGAGTATGGAGCGATCCTATTGGGTGAAATAAGTGATTCATCAGGACTAAGGGAGAAAATGATAGACTAACTGAAGGGTCTCTTGTTAATTGCCGTTAGTTAGTTTATTACCTACCTCTTTTGTCCATTGCAATCACCTGCCTCCACCAATAATATCCCTCCGTATCCTTTTTCTCCTCTTTGTCTATCGCTTTGTCTACCAATTTCAGCAATCAGCCCACTGTTGCATGCGAGAGGTACGACCGTTTGAATAGACTCTTTGTCGTTTCCCCACGAAAGAACGTAACTACATGTAAAGTTTTCCGAAGGCGGGATATCGATAAGGAAAGTTTTTGGGACACTTTACTCTTATCACTATGGATATCATTTAATGTGACGTAAGCACGCCCAATTGACGATAAGCGCATTTTTCTTTAACCTCACAATCTGTGTGAGAAATTTGCGCATTTTTTACTTTCCACCTCAGAAAGTATAATACGGCCCAGACAATTCCACGCATATTGGCAATGAAACTCCCAAACTTTGTATCTCGATTTCGATAGGTTTTCAGTTACCTGCAGAAAGGCTGCCCGTTACTTTCGATGTTTATCCTTATATACTTATCTTCATGATAGCTTCTCGGGTACGACATCGAGGACTAATGAACAATACCGCCTAAGTGACAATGTTGGCAAGAATGGCTAAGCGATTTTGCCGCATTTTACAGTATAAAATTCGCAAGCTGCTGATTTTAGTTTTTTCCAATTTTGTAGGGGAGCACTGCAATGACGCCGTAAGGTATGAAAAAGTTGCAAATCTAACCTTGCAATGGAGAATTTGCATGCACATTTTTTATTGCTTCATCTGAAAGTGCTTAAAGAGCTGATTTCACAGTATTTTTTATAATTTTTTTCTGATATGGGAAATAGTATAAGAATAGATTTAAAAGTGAGAAAATGCACCTCCTAGGGACGTCATCTGGCGGCATTTTTCATTTAAACACATGTATTTTAGCAGATTACATAATTTTGTCATATTTTCTCCAATAATTGTTCAATTCACGAACCAAGGGTATCCTCGTGTTCAGTTCACTCAGTAGTCCACTTAAACACGAAATTCATCAAATTTCAGACACCTGCAAATTCTCTGTTACAAAACAGGGCCGGATTGACCTACTTTCCGCCCATGGGCCGCCGGAGTTTTCCGCCCCCTTCTCATTCGTTTCGAAACATCAATAAAAACCATCAAGTGGACGTGCCGGAGGGTAAGGGGTGCATAAGGCGCGTTTACTCGTGTTGGACACATTTTTTGCGAAAGCCCTGTCAGCACTACTAGCAAAAGTTCACAGAGCTTTGTGCGAAAGTTAAGTTCCGTAAACCTTTCTCTGTGTGAACAAGGCCTTCCATTTATAAGAAATGAACGTAAAAATTATGCAAGAACAAACATAAATGTGGTTTAATAATAATTTTAACTTCGAACGCCGCGCTAACCGCAATGTGTTTGGCGCAATGCGTGAAGTATTCCTACAGTCTTGTAGGCGCTATGTGTTTCACGCAGACCGCCGCGCCGCGCCGCTGAACGTACTGTGTTTGACGCAATGCGTGAAGTTTTCATGCAATCTTGTAGGTGCTAATATGTGTTACAAGCCGACTGCCGCGCCGCACAGTTGATTGAGTCAATTAGAAAGGTCGGACATGACATTTTTGACAACAACTGCAAATGTTGATGTTTATTTCGTCACATTTTAAAGTTCAAGGGGTGAAAATGGAAGAAAATTTCACGAGAAAACCAATGGAACCACTTGCAGAACACCAGATTCTTGTAAATACGGAGTTATAAGCGTTTAAAGTTTCCAAATTTTGTCCGACCTTTCTCATTGTCTTGATTCACCGTGCGCCGCGCTGAGGGCTTTTCCTTTCCATCTCAAGTCCTCATCATCATTGCTCTTTGCGCCGCGGCGCTCTATGCCAAATTGCGTGCCCTCTCTTAACTCGACTAATTAAAGGTGCTGCCTCTTGTGTCACCGAAAGGCGCTTTTCTCGTTTGTATTTTTTTTTAATTCGATTTTTTTTATACCTACATTTTAAAAAAATGCAAAATTTGCCGCCCCCTTTTTCCGCCATGAGCTGCGGCCCATGTGGGCACCCCCTTAATCCGACCGACCCGGGGACTTCACCATTTTTGTAATACAAAAATGGTGAAGTCCTCTCTTCGTTCTGCAAAATCGTCAGCTTGCAGATAGACGGCGATGTTCGTTAGCTATCGATATCGTACCCGAGAATCCGAGAATGTATCATGAAGATAAGCATATAAGGATGAACATCGTAAGTAACGGACAGCCTAGCACCTCCTTTCTGCAGGTAACTTAAAACTTATCAAAATCGAGATACAACATTAGTTTGTAGATAGGCGATAGTGTTCGTTATCCATCGATATGAGGTTTCACTAACCTGATTTAAACAGGACTAATGCTTTTAGACAAGTAAACTCAGTATGGTCCAGTCTCATTGTTAAAATGCGATTTACAATTCCTTTTAGTTTCCGCACTGTTTCCTCGAGTGCTGAGTGTCGATATTCAGGCGCTGCTGAATTTATTACTAAAAAACCTGAAAAAAGGAAAAATCATTAAATTTATCATCTGAGTAGTTTTCCAGAGAGCTGGAGTAAAAGTGAACAGCATTGCTGGAAAGCTGCACGATCTCTTTAACTTACATGATAGGCATTGCAGATCAAAGAGTTAGTTAAGTAAGGGACATATTTAAATAAAGGTAGGAGGTTCATCTATTTGAGTAAAATTCGTCTAGGGAAGGATATACTTTTTTATCGGATTGGAGGCCAGAGTTTATTTTTTAACTCTGTTTTTAGGTTTGAAGTTTGCTTTTTTACTAAGCTTCAGTGTGTTTTCTCAACTTAAAATGTATTTTTTTTTTATCACAAAAATTTAACGTAATAATTTCGTCCACATTCCTATGGAGTGAGAGTATCTGCATCATGAACATTTTGACGAAGACTTCTCGAAGAATTCTGTAAAATTAAATGATAAAATTGAATAAATGCCCCTTAATTGGCTCTGAGATATTGACAGAAATGGAAAAGTACCTTGATCTAAAGCGAAAGACCACTGGGCAGCACTTAACGCAAACAACTCTGACCATGAATCCTCAAGTAAAAGTGATTGGTCATGGCTGGGTAACTGGAATCACGAATGAAACGAACTGTTAAAATTATAAACATTAACTCAAAAGTTGTGCAAAGAAAACAATTGCTTGACGTGCTAAAAACTAAAACATTGACTAATAATGATAGATGGTAGTACCTAAAAATTTGTGATCAATATTTCAATAGTCAGTCAAATGTTTCGAAGAAACACCGATTGCATGACTCACAATGAAAAAAAAATCTCGGTGTATTTACTAAGAAAAGGGTAAAATTACCAAGAATTCAGGGTTCTATTTGATCCCAATTTTTTCTTGGTAAAATTACCATCTATGGAATTGGTAATTTTACCGAGAAATCTCGGTAAGATAATTGAACTTTCTCGGTAATTTTACTGGACCTTGGTAAAAACGCCAATATTTTTTATCTACTGTGGTAGAATTACCGAGATAAAATGGCAAAGTTACCGGGAATTGATTACCAATAAAAGTGGTATTCTTACCTGAAAAAAAACAGTAAAAATACCGGTTTTTAGGTAAGCTTACCAGTCTGTATTGGTAAAATTACCAATAATTGGTAAAAAAAAGTGAGATGGTAAAGAAAGGTACCAACGGACCTTGGTGAAAACGCCGAGAATTTTTTTTCAGTGTACTTCACTCAAAAATGCGTTTTCAGGTTTAACGCTCTCTACGAGGAAAGCTCCTTCCCCACACTAGGAGGACGGTGATTATACAGTAAATATATATAAAAATGAATATAAATAATTTATATAATTCATAATTTTATCCTATTATTAAATAGGATTTAGATATGAATATTTACTTATGTTAGTGTGTATCAGCAAGATAGAGATACAGAAGCATTTATTTAATAATATGTAAGTGCTGCACTAATAAAATAGCGTTTAAATATATTTAAAGTGATAACTATATGAAAGATATTTAATAATCATCAGCGAGATAGAGATACAGAAAAATGTAAGCGTAGAGCTTCCCCTATGGAATCCATGAGAACTTAATGCTGCACTATTAGTTTACTTGAAGTATGTTGAATGTCATTCATTATTGATTTTAAACAGGTAAGCAATGTTTTCTCTATTCTCAACCCCAATCGTATTCCATATTGTTTACCTGAATAAACGACGGAATGCTTCTGGCCCATTTAACGGCAAGAAACAATAACTTAGCTGCAGACTCATAGATGCCTTCATTCGGCATGTCCACGGAAACATCGTCCTGTCGCTCTTTTTTGGGAGATATCGGTGAAGATTTAGTTACATCTGCAGAAAAAAACATCAAATATCAAAGTATAGTATGAGATCTACTAACTAAGATCACTTGAGTTTACATTTCCATTGTGCGAGTATCTTACAGCATGACATTGCATCGTTTGAAATTCTTCAACATTTATTTTAAATTGTCTTTTTGTAAAAACATGATAATTGGAGGAGAAGCGGATAAAATATCTAAGAAAGATTTATTTGGGAGGACGATAAAATATGCAAGAAAATATGGACCATTTCTCTCCCAGTGGACAAATAAGAGGACAATCTCGTCGTGGACAAAAAAATTCCCGAGGATAAACCGTTTTTTGTGGAAAAAAATTCCGCAGCGCCAGCGTGGGAAAATCGAACAAATTTACTTCAATTTTTGAACGAAATAAGCCACACGAACCAGATAAAGGAGAGCGTTTCGAGTAAATACGCTTATGCGTGGCCCTGGATAGATACTAATCGTGAATAATTAAGTGAGGTAAAATAATTTTGCGCACCAATTTCAGTGTCAGCCTCGACCTCCAGCAACTATTTTAACTCCCCTGCGATCAAATTGCATACTCTATAAATTGAAGGATTTTCTAATGTCTCGCTGTTTAGTAAACCAATAGTCTTTTCAAGCAGGTGCCGTTGTTTTAAACTTTCAATGATTTTAACTCTCAGAGATGAACTTGGAACTTTCCGTAAATTCGCTGCTTCTTGGGCTGGCAGTTTTATTCTATTGTGAGCAAAAGTCGAGTGTTTGATAATGAAACCGAAACTTCGGCGTGATGACTCAAATCGGACGTACTTATGTTGGCAGTAACTACAATACACGCAAACCTAATGCACATAGTTCCTTTTAGCATAAAGTAGAGCATCGAACTTTCAGCCCATGAATCTAGATCCCCCCCTTCCCTCAAGACTCGGGTTCACAAAGATGTAAAAACAGTAAGAGTGTCTGTGTAGGTTTAAAAATACCTTGTGGCGTTATATGCTGCACTTCTTCTGAGCTGCTTACTTCATCCTCTTTCAAAAGTTGTTGACAGTCTTTGCTGACAGATATGTATTGGCAATCGTGAAGAGCGAGGTAGTTGTTGAAAGCTCCCAATGGACGGGATGCTATTAATAAAAAGAACATCATTATTATAACTGCAGTAAATATACTTTATAAATTAACACACACTTAAAAACACTTGAGTCGGTCAGACTTGGGCTGAACAGACAGTTTTTTCTTAAAATTTCCAACCTAGATGGTTAGACATCTTCTTTAATTTTAATGCAATGAGTCTTCCCGCGTATAAAAAGTGTGACGTCTGCAGTGTGCATTTAGAGGTCAGAAACCCTATACCAACCAGGGGGCTAATTATTGAAACTGGTCGACAAAGCTATAGACAAAGACGACACACTGTATATAAAGCGATCCTATTGGTGGAAGCGTTGCAATGTACCAAGGAGGTAAGTAGGCTAACTAACGGCAACCGCTAGAGACCTAATAGTTTGTCCATTATTTTTCTCCTAGTCTATGACAACTACTCGTTCCAACGAATAGGATTGCTCCATGTTTCCTAACATCTTCTTCGTCTATTACTTTGTCTATAAATTTGAATTATCAGCCCGCTGGCTAGATGTTTGATGAAGTAGCTACTGATACTCACCAGGCGTGGTCTGATGCAGTTCAGATTTGGACATGATTGCAGCGACGCTGTACGGGAAAGGATGAGGGTATCGGTAAATGAACGCAGATGGAAAAATGGGGCTACATAGCTCCCGACTTCGGTGAAAGCGGTGATGGTGGTGGTGAGAATTCTGTCTTGATGTCCGCTCGTGCTGTACAGCTGAAGGGAAAAGCATAATATCACCAAGTAAGACTTTTGTATACAGGATGTTCCAGAGTTGACGTCAACAAATTTGAGGAGCTACTCTGGAGTCGGGATAGACTTTTGCCTTTCGAATATTGATTTGAAAACCTTTCCCACCGACGCCCAGTGGATCGAGTCAATAGGAGAGGTCGGACAAAATTTGCAAACTTTAAACGCTTATAACTCCGTTTACACAGAAATTTGAGGTTCTAAAAGTCCGTTATATTGGTTTCCTCATTAAATTTTCGTCTGCATGCACCCCTGAGAATTTAAAATGTGACAAAATAAACATCAAAATTTGCAGTTCCAGTCAAAAATGTCACGTCCGACCTCTCCAGTTGAGTCGATGCACTGGCAACGGGAATGCAAAAATTAGGGAATAAAATCACTACGTGGTTAGTGAGCCCCCCCCCCTCTCGTTCACTTAAATTTAGCGAGAATCCCCTCTACGCTTTTCGGGGTTCATGCATAGAGAAACATAAGGAGGTGCTTGCATCTTGAGGTTTATTTACCCTGTGACGTAGGTCGGTACAAACAGGCCAGCGAAATCCGGAATTCGAAGTATGAAAAACAGACCATAATATGTCCGATTTTTTGCTTAAATCAACTCATGATATAATTTCAAACACTTTTTATAGAATGACTTTTTTCCATAAATTACACCATTTCCAGGAAATTCGATGATAAACTCGTTGTACCGACCTACGCCATCCAAGATGCCCGAAATGCAAACACCTCATTTTTTTCTCTATGGGGTTCATGTGGAACTAACGATATTCCGTCTTGTCAGAGGAGCAACGAAATATCCACTTTTTATTGCACAACCTGGCAACCTTAGCCGAGCGAAGAGTCTGACTCGGAGTCCGATTCACACTGAAAGGAAAATTGTCGCGCCTCTGGGGTAGGGGCCCCCTTGAGTCTTCAAACGCATGGAGTTACATTAAGAATAGAGCTCATCTTAAAATGTAGTTACGTCTTCAAGTCAAGAGAGCGACCAAATGGGTAGAGAAAAAAGCTCGCCGCGTGACACTTTCGGAAACCAGGTTTTGGCGGCAAGCAAACAGTTCAGGCGTCGCGATCTTAAGAGCATTTCTCGCATTGCCACAGTTCCGATTCCTTCGAATTCCATTCCCATCCACTTAAAAAGACACCTAAACTCAAATCGAAAAAATATACCGAAAAGTAATCTGAGTATCTATAAAGTGTCTCGTCCAGGACTTGTGACCAACCGGAAGGCTGCAGGAGCGTGTTCTATGGGGCATAAGAAGACTGTTGTCCCCTATTAAATGATTTACAAAAGTTTGCTTAGTCGCTACAACGACCCCCCCAAAAAAAATTTAGTACGAAATTCATCCTCGGCCGCATGAACATCGAAATTTCCAGTTGAAGGAACTTCAGGAGGATTAAGGGCTGATTTTTTTACCCCGAATGACCCAAACCCCCCTTTGAAGTTAAAATGTTGATATTTTTGCGGCAATGGGTAAATTCAGCACGAAAAATTATAATAAACTAAATTATAATACAATTATATTAAACCTAACCTTACTCGAGATTTTACATTAGTTTTGATTCCTAACCATCGCCAAAATTTAAAAAAAACTGATATTTCCAAAAATCAATGGGGGCTGTAGGCTCGACTGAGAGTTATTTTGGAAAAAACTTGGTAGAAGGGCAAAGTTGTTAATGTTGCATCTTTTCTGCTTTATTTTGTCTTCGACATTCATATGAGTAATTTTTAGAATCTCCAAATTCAGATGCCACTTTTGTTCCATGACTACTTTAATACGTAAATTTCATGCACATTCTACCTAAAAAAGCACAACATGGATTTTCTAACTCGAACTTGGTAAAAATTTCTACAAGTCCAAGTCCAGCAGTCAATGGTACTAGGGTCGTCTGGCCTTAATTAATCACCCAATTTTCATTCTATTTTTATTTACCCTTTTTTCGGCTCTGGGGGAGACGAGGGGTACATCTTCATGGCCCCTCCCTGGATCCGCCGTTGTTCCCTATTGTAAGGGCACCAGCGACGGATGAGGGTGAGATTCGGCAACCCCTAAGCGATGCGAGATGGTCGCGACTGAGCTAACATTGACACAGTAGGCGAGGTGTCAAAGCCATAGGTCTCTTTCTCACCAATTATGATTGCACCCAACCTCGACCTCTCACCAACCCCTCTTCTCTCTTGAGCTCGCCCCCCCCCCCTTTAAACTTCGTTGCTTCCGTCCATCCGTCTCAAGAGTTGACAACTGTATCGTCCCAACTGAAGAGCCTCACGGGGATAGAATTGAATCAATTTCGGGTAGAGAGGCGTAAGTTCAACTTTTTTTTTTTTTTTTTTTTTTTTTTTTTTTTTTTTTTTTTTTTTTTGCATTTTTGGCCTCACCCCGACATTAATCAGTCATCATTAAGCGAATTTTACCCTCCAAAAAGTTGTTTATCAGTTATCATTAGGCGAAAAATAGCGTTGATTTCTGAACTTAACTTTTGCCTCATCATCAGGTGAGGTAATTAGTTTGGTCAATAAAATGGACTACAGTTTTGCAATTAGGAACTACAATATCCGGCTCAGCTGAGAAACGACGTAGGGACCATTACCTTCTCTACGCATAAAAGCGTTTTCACAAATGATCCAGAAATTGTAGTCCCTGATCGGAAAATTGAAGGCCAAAGTACGAAACCACGTACCTCCGCATGCAACGTTGCAAACTTCCTGTCATACGTTCTTTTTCTTTGGTAAACTAGTCAACGTAATTTTTTGACAACTTCTATTATTATTCCTTTCTATTCGCAGAATATTTCAAGTCATGGAGTTGACTCCTCAAAATAATAAATTAGGAGTAGACATTTTGAAACTCCGCAATGGAGATACGTGGTTTTGTATTTTGGCCATCGAAATATCGTCCAAATACTCTGTCTCTGACATCACACTGGTAAAAAAAAACCTCTTGGTTCAAGAGTGCAGTTTCTTGTCGCCGGATTTAAGAGTCTGGACTCTTGTTTCAATGCAAAATCCGCTTGAAACAAGAGTTCAAGAGTCTTAAATCCGGCGACAAGAAACTGCACTCTTAAGTCAATGCAATGCGGCATTGGTCCAAGAGGTTTTTTTTACCAGTGCAGGTTCCAGCAGTGACTGATTGTAACCGCATAGGTACTTGCGTCTTACCATCTTTTTTCATGTTGACCAGGAGGCATTTGCTGAAGCGGCACGCCTGGCACTGGTTGCGCCTGGTAACGTCAACGATGCACTTCCCGTTCTCCTTGCAGACGTACTCCAGGTTGCGTCGGATGGAGCGCTTGAAGAACCCGCGGCACCCGTCACAACTTGCCACCCCGTAGTGCTTCCCCGAGGCCTTGTCCCCGCACACCTTGCACTGCGTCTCCGACAGACCCTCCATGTCCCGCGACCGAGACCTGCAAAAAATATCTCAGTCTAATAATACCGGGATGGGCAAAAAGCCCTGATAGACGATCAAATTCCCGAACCAATTCCGATCAAAGTAGCATCTAAGTGTCGGGAGTCATCAGTCTTAAACTCATTAATTTGCTTAGTTTTAAAATGAAAACTTGGCAGAAATGTTTCCTGAGGCAGGAAAAGATGAATGGTGGCACTCCATCCTGATCTTACTTTGAACAAAATAGTGCGGCCCGTCAAAATTTGATCTTTGACTATCAGTCATCAGCATGTCCACTTTGATCGGAATTGGTTCGGATTTGATCGTCTATCCAGGGCTAGAGAAACACTCGACACTGGAAAAAAAAGAAGAAAAAAAAGAAAAAAAACTCTGGGCGCGGAAGCCGTGCGCTACCACGCCGTACGTAGCTACGGCTCCAGCATCCGGAACTTTTGGTCACTGAGCCCGGAACGGACGGTATGTCTATATAGCCCGTAACTTTTTTTTCAGTGAACATGTCAGAGATCGATTTGTCACAAGAGGGAGTCCCTATTCGGATATGTTGATATTTTTTGGGAGTCGGGGGGTTGGGAGGTCGGGGGAGGGGGCTAGGGGTTGTAACGGGGAGATGCGCCCCGCGGTTGGCTGTGCAGGGGGGTCGTGAACCCGCAAAAAGTTTTCCCTCTCGATGGTTACGACAACAGTTCAAACTGGGACATCTTAACTTAATTATTGAGAAGGTTATGGCGTATGCATATCGTAACGTTCGCATGTCCTAGGTGTACGACGGTATATATACTTTTAATTTCTAGCATTATTTCTCATGTTGCTCCTCCACTTTATATTTTGTCATTGACTTCAATGACGTCCGTCTTTTTGAAGTTAGACGTGATCTGCTGAACGACCAGTATATTTTGAAAAATAAAAGCTAATTAAACAAAATTATCACCGAATCGAAGTGGGCTGCACTAAATCTGCAAATCAAAGGATGAACACATAGACGTATTGAAAAGGCTAAAAGAATCGTCACTGCGGTGGAATCTGCACCAATGCACAACCATTTAGATTATTTCGATACGATTCGATACATAAACGAGAATAGAGCAGAGTTGAATAATTTATCTGATGACCGCTGAGGGAAGTCATCAATGCCATTAAATTCATAGATGCACACTATCGATGACACTCTTTAACGATTTGTTTTTGCGGGTCGAGGAAGGGAAATTTCTACTGCGCTGATGAGGAGTCCCGTAGTGTTGACAAACATCCTGCGTTAAGCATTCGTTTTTTAGGAGACGTCTGGAAAATGCTTTCTAAACGCTCGAATTCACGTAACAAAATTCTATTGCGCTGTCTCCTTTTCCGTGAAATTTCATAAAAATGAACGGTTGAATAAAAAATTCCAGCTGAATGCTACAATTATTTGTTTCTCTAAAAATTCCTTGGAAATATTACAACAGATTCTCCAAAAGCTAATTAATGCTCTGAGTTGAGGGAGGAAATTTGGCATGGTCAGGCGGTTCATATGTGCTTTTCCTTGCCATGAGAGATTTGTGCACTGCCGTGCTGAGTAAGAAAGCCGCATGCTCCATTATACCTTGCCAAATTTCCCTCGACAAATCACACAATTTCAGGAAGATATGTGAATTATTTTCCTCTGATTTTCCACAGGATTTTGTTCTTATTTTGATTTAAAGAGTCTGAAAATATCCAGGAAATATATTCATAACTTTCTTGAAAACTGAATATTTTCCAAGAGGAAATTTGGCAACACCTGAATGCTTGCACGGCGTGTTTACGTTCAGCACGGTAGTACAGGGCTCATTGAGAGGAGTCATGTCACAAAGTTTTCAGCTCATTAAATTTGCAATATTTATGGGTTTATGTATCGTGAGCAGGTCGGCGAGTTAGAAGGTGAAAGCATGGGGTCAGCCGGAGCATAATACTCAATTGCACTGGATATAGACACCAGTGGCGGGGCGTGCTTTGCGATATATCGATTGATCTGTCTTTTAAACCTATGGAAAAGGGTCGGTTAACAGGGTGTTCCTTAATAATCGATTCTTTACCATAGCTTCAAATGGGGAAATATCGATAAGCGATTATTCACGCCCCGCCACTGACAGACACGCAAGATCCTCGTGAGGAACGCGGAGGACACTTATGACTTGTGTATCAGTGGCCAATCAGAATCCATGTTTTTGACAGTTGCCGAGGGAACGGAAGTGACTCTTGCACTTTTGAGGCGCGAGGATCATGAGTGGTTTCGACCGATGCGAGTAGGTCATTAATACCTATGTATTTTTATTCGGAAAAATAAATTCCGAGAGAGACGAACCTCGAGGATATATCCTGAAAATAATGAAGAATTAAAATCTACTGCTGGCGTCTGTATTGAGCCTAAAAATCCCCTTGCACTTCCCTGCAAAAATCGATTTCTCGACTCAAAAGACACATGCATTCCTTGGTTTGGAAAAGTTTTGGCTCAAATGTGAACGCGGAGAGCGATTCAAATTTATAAAAGCTCGAAAAATCGGGAAAAACACATGCATAAAGCCGCTTCTATAGCGCAGCCTCGCGCTCTGCGACGCCCAATCGCCGTTGCCCCCTATCCTCCCAGAGATCATCAGGCAATTGGCACCTTCTGATCTCCTCCTCCACCCCTTGTCGCCAACCTTTCACAGGAACTCCACGCCGTTGCCTTCCGGGAATCGGGAAATTCAACGCTTAAAACTTCAACCCCCATGTTCTCGATGAAGATGAAGGAGTTATGACGTGGGATTTTTTGTCTCGTTCTGTTGGTGCCTATTGACAACTTTTTAGCCCTAGCCGTTTTCAGTTATCAAAAAAAAAAACGATGTTTTCGGCCCACCCTAGAGAGTATGAACACGTCGAAAATTTGGAGGTTAGGTTTGATCAGGTCTTGTGGCCCATGGGGCCCAAAATGGGCAGCCAACCTATGAACTCGAATTATCCAGGGGTACTAATTTTCACATTTCAACTATTTACACTGATCAAAAAATAAAAGCACGTATAAATCTTTGATTTCGTATAAATTGTCTTAGTTTCGAAGTCTGAATCCTTAAAGACGCTTGTCTATAATGCGCTGTCAGCCATATTGATTAATCTTTCAAACGCATTGGTTGGCAGCGGTACTTTTCTAGTGATTTTCGTTTTACACGTTGTCGTTCTTTGGGCCCTAAGAGCTACATCAATCGACGTATCCATACCCTCCCTATAAAGGTCACTACTCTAACAGGGAGTCTGCGACGCACAGTGGATCGAATCAATGGGAGAGGTCGGACATGAAATTTTTACTAAAACTGAAACTTTTAATGTTTATTTCGTCGTAGTTTAAATTTCAAGGGATGCTTCGAGAGGAACATTTAACGAGAAAACCAATGAAACAACTTTTAGAACCTCAAAATTTTGTAGAAACGGAGTTATAAGCGTTTAAAGTTTCCGAATTTTGTCCGACCTCTCCTATTGGCTCGATCCACTGTGCGAAGTCGCAAACGGAGATACGCGGTTTCGCACTTCGGCAATCGACACGGAGGGCGACACCTGTTGAGGAGACGTCTGAAATAAAATCACTTCGCACAAGCGTTCGAGCGTCCTTGTCTCGCTAATTGGGTGTCGGGATGAGGCGACGTTGGTGAATGGTGACGTAGGACCCTGAGGAAAGCGCGAGGAGCGATCCTGATCTTTCGGCGTGACGGCGCGGGCGAGGGCGAGGGGGGTGTTTATAAATTTAGCCGCGAACATTTTTATCGATGCAATAATATTTACGCAAGCGGAGCCTTTGTGTGCGTAATTGGGGCTCGCGGCTCGGGGTTCATTAAAGGCGCCCGGGGTTATAATGGGAGTTGTGGGAGCGGGCAGGTGCGCCTGGTCAAGGGTGGGCTCGGCGCCTGTGGCGCACAGTGGAATCAGATGTTTCGACATCAAATTTTTGGTCAAAATTTCCAATTTTGAGGTTCATTTCGTCACAATTTCAACACGGAAAAAAATAGGGAAATCGACATAACCAGCGGCTGGTTAAAAATGCGCCAGCTACCGTGCGGTAGTTTCGATAACTATCGCGGTGGAGGTCACAACTATCCCGGTAGTTACATCAACAACCATGGATGTTGACCGGGGTTAGTCCCGGGGGACTAACCCCGGGGANGGTGGGTATGGGACTAGTCCGGGGGGTTAGTCGGGGGGTGACCTCCACCGCCGTAGTTATCGTAACTACCGCACGGTAGCTGGCGCATTTTTAACCAGCCGCTGGTTGTGTCGACTACCCTATTTTTTTCCGTGAATGGGTCGTTAAACATGGTTTTTTTATACATTTATTTATTTACTTTTTTTTAATCGTGCGCCTTCTGTGCATAGAAATTAGAATATCTACAATATGATTAATCCTAGACCTAAGACTAAGACTTAACTAAGACCTAAATCTAAGACTATTATGATACAATGTTGTCCCCAGGATAGGGTATATGGGGAGAAATATATTCAATGTGACAATGTATCAATGTGGAAATGTTGCTTATCTCCTACAGATCATTTGATTCAGATACGGTTCTTCGATTCTGAAGATTTAGTTTTGATTTTCCTATTGCTTCATTTACGAGGAGTAGAAAGACATTTCACGGAAGTCGTAGAAACCCGTGCTCGCTTCTAAATGGTGCCTGATGACATATTTCGATTCGGCGCGAAACCGGGTCGTTTTAGATTTGCGGAAAAGTTGCACTTTTTGAACTGTGTATTTCTCGGTTCCTGAGCTACATGTTCGCGTTTTTAATTCTTATAGCTGTATCGCTTCTATCGCTTTTTAATGCTTATCGTGTTCATTTACCTATGGATTAAAGTAGGTATTTGCAAGTAAAATTCATCCATGGTTTACTGGCCCATCTCAGCGGGTGTTTCTGAAAGTCAACTTCATGAAAAAACCTATATCGACGGTGAAAGTCGGCAATCACATAACTCGTTTGCGTTGTCTGAAAATCTCCGCCTCTATGTTATTTTTTTAAA